CTCTGTCTTCCCTTTCCTGCCTCAGTTTCCGCTTCACTGATCCGCATCCCATGCCTGTATTGTGAAGTCGTTTTGCAGATGGCTTTACAAAGTCATGCCTTGCTTGCACATGTCGGTTTCATGTAATTTTCCTCTATTCCTGAATGCAGGGAGTATACTTAACATTTCCATTTTCCCTCTTTCCTCTCAGATTATGAGTCCAGGAGTGACAACGTGGAACTCACAGTAAAGCAGATTTCTGATGAAGCTGAATCATCCTGGATGACTTCAGGAGGCCCTGAAAGAACTGTTCCCTCGAGTCAGGAGTTTGGAGAAGTTAGCGACCTTCACGGCATGGTAGAAAGGTGGCAGGTCCACCCGCCAGGGGGGCGATCAAGGCAGACCCCTCCCCAGAAGAGAGAGCTCGGGGCCATCACCGACGTGACCCGGAAGCCACCCCCCAGCGGCGAGAGGGGGCACAGATGTAATGACTGCGGGAAGTTCTTCCTGCAAGCCTCCAACTTCATCCAGCACCGGCGAATCCACACGGGCGAGAAGCCCTTCAAGTGTGGCGAGTGCGGAAAGAGCTACAACCAGCGAGTGCACCTCACCCAGCACCAGCGCGTCCACACCGGCGAGAAGCCCTACACGTGCCAGGTGTGCGGCAAGGCCTTCCGCGTCAGCTCCCACCTCGTCCAGCATCACAGCGTGCACAGCGGCGAGCGGCCCTACGGCTGCCCCGAGTGCGGGAAGAGCTTCGGGCGCCACTCGCACCTGATCGAGCACCTCAAGCGCCACTTCAGAGAGAAGTCCCAAAGATGTAGGTGTGAGCAGTTGGTCTTCGGAGCGTAAACGAGGCAGGAATTGCTTTATCAGCTTAGAACCATCGGAGAGATGGGTGGGGATGGTGGCAGCTGTAGTAGGCAGGGATGGAGAGTTACCCTCTGTTTTATTATCACTTGTACCGTATGGTTGTTTTTTTTTTTTTTAATATTTATTTGGCTGCTCTGGGTCTTAGTTGTAGCATGTGGGATTTAGTTCCATGACCAGGGACTAAATCCTGGCCCCCTGCATTGGGAGCACATAGTCTCAGCCACTGGACCACCAGGGAACTCCCAACAACATTTCTTCTGGCTCATTTCTCTTTTTCCTGGCTCCTAACTGGATATTCTTCCAACTCCATAATCCCCTCACATTCCTTTGCTTCCCATTCTTCAGGCCTTCGTCAGTTCTCACCATCTAGTGGTGTATCTTTGTTCTGTCTCATTCTCTCTCCCTGACTCATGTTGGGGTGAGGATTCCTTCCACCTTTCCTACCGCCTCTCCCATGTCAGAATTCCTTTCTCTCTGTGTAGTAACAGTGTTTGACGTTTCCCTTTGACTGCTTGTCCTCAGTCTTTCTCATCACCCTCCCAAGTAAGCGCTCTATTCTTTATCTTGTTCACTGAACAGACACCAGAGCACGTATATGCTCCCCTCCTCCTTCGTTACTCCTGTTACATCATAGTTCCATCTGATTATCCATTTTTTCCTGATAGTTTCCTTTTCTTCCATAAAAGGACCGATAACATTTTCATTTCCTCTTGACTTTTTCAGGTGGGAGTAGAAGAAGTAAGAATACAAAACTGAATGTCAAGAAGAAAATTTCAGAGTTTTCAGAAGCGGACATGGAACCCACAGGCAGACTCCAAAGAGCTGTGTCTCCAGTTCAAGATTTTGGAGAAGGCCACGAGCACCAGGGCAAGTTGGAGAGAAAGCAGGGAATGCCCATGAAAGAGATACTAGGACAGCCCTCTTCAAAGAGGCTGAATTTCAGCGAAGTCACCTACGCCCACAAAAAGCCCTCCACTGGAGAGAGACCCCATAAATGTAATGAATGCGGGAAGAGCTTTATTCAGAGCGCACATCTGATCCAGCATCAGCGGATACACACCGGGGAGAAACCGTTCAGGTGCGACGAGTGTGGGAAAAGCTACAATCAGCGTGTGCACCTGACTCAGCATCAGCGGGTGCACACGGGGGAGAAGCCTTACGCATGCGCCTTGTGTGGGAAAGCTTTCCGGGTGAGGTCTCACCTGGTCCAGCACCAGAGTGTGCACAGCGGGGAGAGGCCCTTTAAGTGTAACGAGTGTGGGAAGGGCTTTGGGAGACGGTCACACCTTGCTGGGCATCTGCGGCTTCACTCGAGAGAGAAGTCCCACCAGTGTCATGAATGCGGAGAAGTCTTTTTTCAGTACGTTAGCCTCATTGAACACCAGGTGCTGCACATGGGCCAGAAAAATGAACAGAATGGTGTTTGCGAGGAAGCGTACAGCTGGAACTTAACGGTGATCGAAGATAAGAAGATTGAGTTGCAAGAGCAGCCTTACAAGTGCGACGTGTGTGGCAAAGCCTTTCATTATAGTTCAGACCTCATTCAGCATTACAGAACTCATACCGCAGAGAAAACCTATAAATGTAATCTGTGTGGAGAAAGCGTTGGCCAGTGTCCCCACATCAACCAATATCCTAAAAGCTATTCCAGTCTGAAAGCCCATCAGTGTAATGAATGTGGCAGAGGCTTTGCTCTGAAGTCACATCTCAATCAACATCAGAGGATCCACACTGGTGAGAAACCCTTTCAGTGTAAAGAATGCGGCATGAGTTTCAGTTGGAGTTGTAGCCTCTTTAAACATCTGAGAAGTCATGAGAGGACAGATCCCATAAAGATCTGAGGTGTCTAGAGGTTCCTATCATAGAACAGCTCTTACACAATTTTAGAGATGCCTTCCTGAAGAGTAACCGTATTCCTATAACAAATGTAGTCACAACCTCAAGCATCTTCTTCAGCGTAGCCATCAAATCTACAGATATGTTGAGATCCTCTATTTAGAACTTAGGACACCGGAGCATCCACAGCAAGTACAGATCTGCTTTCCCATTGGGAAATGCTTTCGTTTCCATCTTCATTCACAAGAGTCTAGACAGGAGAGAACGATACGGTGGGTTGGGGGGAAGCCTTCAGAAGGCACTCATTCTTCACATGAGTCTAAGAACATTGACACTGGGAGAAGCCTCATGAACTCGGTAGAAATAAGCTTCATTTGTAGTTTCTGCCTTGTTTGACAGCTTATCTATTCAGGGAATAGCACAGTGAAAGAGAAACTTCAGCATGATCTTGGTGTTGGTATCTCAGCAACGAACCTCAGCAGTAATGCCAGCCACTGGATAGCTCCAGGGGTCATTCCAATCTTGAGTATATTAACCCTTTGAAAAGAAATTGATTTTTAAAGTATTTATATCTGGGTGAAAATGAGGTTCAGAGGCTAGATGGTATGTGTTTTTGCTGCCTTATTCAGTCAACAACTTCTTCATGAAACACACTCTACCTTTTTGTTTTGTCTTTGATTCTCCTGGCACCACGGTAAGCTAGTAGAAAAGAAGTTAAGTTTTAAATTCAGGGGAAACTGTGTTGGTCTGTCATGTCTTAGGGAGAGGGGAGTGGGACCTTAGGGGAATAGAGCAGACAGGCCAGGCTGTGGATTGGTTTTTATTCTGTTACCCACACAGATGAGGGTGACTTTATCCACGGAAGGAGTTGGACCAAATTGAATTGAAAATTGAGTTGTGGTCCAAGCAATATGTGTGCCAACTCCCAGTTGCCCTGGAGTGGATCTCTCCAATAGGATAGTGGATAAAGAATGAGTTTCAACTTGGGTTGCCACTGGATTTGAGAGTAAACGTTCATAGAAGCAGGGAGGTCCTGGTCTGGTGCACCCTGCCTTTTGGAAAGGTTTCAGAAGGCGTGGTGGGGGAAAGACGATGACATGGAAAAGAACATTAACGCAAACCTGTTTGCTAGAGAGACGGTGAGAGGCGTTTGGGCACCACTGAAGTCCTGCTTCTGCTGATGGCCTGAATTACAATAAACACCTAATGAATACCTGTTGATTGTGTGTGTTGTGCACTGGTGCCCAGGCCAGGCCCCCTTTGCCAGGCTGCCATACCTGTCTCCCAGCTGCTCTTGAGTTTTGGCCACCAGGTGCTCACAGCTCACTCAGTTCTCTGGAGGCTCGGGTAAAGAGAGCTGCCCCACCCAGGAGTCAGCTGCCTGCCCCACTCCCAGCCAATGACTGGTTGATACAGGGTTACAAAGGCTGATCCACTTGCCTCTGGGTGGGGAGCAGGTGCAGTATGCTCCAGACCCACCCTTTGTGGATCAGGCAAGACTTTGGTTATTGACTCCGTCCATTCTCTTGTCCTCTGTGCTGTCTTATCCCCGCCTCCCCTTCCTGTCCTCAGCAAATCACGTGGGTTTGAATGCTTTCTCAGGCTCTGCTTTAGGCAGAGACGTGTGGTGCCATGAATTGTCCTATAAGAATGGACTGGTTGCTCACCATGAGGCAGCGAGGGCGTGTCACCAGTGGTGGGTGGGACCCTGGTAGTCCCAGTCATGTGGCAGACACTCTGGTGAACTGGGAGGGAGTACAGGTAGGAAGGGATACGCCAATTTGGGTAAGTTTTGAGGAACAAAATGAAAATGATTGTGGAATCAAATGGCTCTGGCTGAAAGCCACTGATTGCTTGGAGAGAGAAAATGACACTTGGGGCAAATGTCCACCAACTTGACGTAATGTATGAGTGTCAGAGGGCCTCCTTGGAAGCATTTAAGGAGACTTGTCACCTGCAAACAGAATCACAGAGCTAAAGGTGATAAGACTGAAAGTGATTTAAGACAATTGAGAACGACAAGTTCAGTAAAGCCTGGTGTTAATGTCCACCGTGCTTTAAACATCATGCTAAGTGCTTTATGTGGATCACCTCACTTAATCCTCACATTATGCAGTGGTTTCACTTAATAGCACTCTCATTTTACAGTTGGGAAAAACTTGACATTCAGAGTAGTTAATTCCCTTGTCCAAAGTCACACAGCCAACAAGTGGCAGAATGAGTATTTGAACCATGGTCACTTTGCCTCCAAAAGCTAAGTTCTTAAGCACCAAACTAGACTATGTCTTACATGATTAAACATTACAAAGTGATGAAACTTCTTGTTAGTTTATATGAAAAAGGTTTTGATCCAAATGGTAAAAACATTAATAGAATCTTGAAAGGGTTTGATGGGACTGTCACACTCAACCTCCCGCACAATGGAGGAATCACTGTTCAGTTGTAGACATGTGCATGCAACAAGTGCTTAATAACTGTGTTGAACTGGAGAGAACACTTCCTGGCAGCTTCCTTTCTGCATGAAACCCTTCCACTGATGGGTTCATTGCATCCCGAGGCAGCGTCTTCCCTTTAAAAACACCTCTGATTGCCAGAAACTCCTTAGTGAGCTGAAAACTGTGCCAATCTGCAGTCGTACATCTCGTAGTTGCAGAAGAAACTTAAAAAAGAGTTTTATGACTTGAATGTTGGTGAAGTTTTTTTTTTTTTTGCTGCTACTCAGTCATCACATCCATCATCTTACCTTGCAAAGCTCCAAAAGCGAAGGGAAACAGACCACCATATTTTGTTTGGTCAGTTTGGGGCAAGTTAGAACAATCTGGACTAGGACAGTAGAACCTGCATTCCAACTACAGCAGTAAATGAGTGCATGGAGCACATAGGTTGAATTCTACAGAAATGTTTGCCACAGCGCTTGGGCAGGGAGGAAGACTCTGACTGATTCTGTCAAAGGTTTTTCGTTTTTCTGCAGAGAAGTATCAGAGCCATTTGAGTGTGACCAGGTCCAGGGCACCAGCTTTCTGTCCTTTCCCTGTAGAAGGAGCCATTAGAAGCAGGTACCATGTGCTATTAATAGTTCTCAAAACTTATGAGCTGCACCTTCCACCCCATCAATTCCTCACTTCTTTCTCACTAGTGAGGACCTGCTTCTAGGTGTTCCTCAGACTGAGGAGGAGGTTGTTAAATTCTCTCAATTTATAGAGGAACCACAGAGACCGCAAGACCTCCTAGATTCCTAGAGAACACCTATGGGGGTAGAGCTTGGGGGGGGGGGGCGGGACTGTGACGCGCTTCCGCTAATCCTTCCGGAAAACCAGTCCTGTTTGTCCTACAGGCGTGTGGTAGCTGCTGGCCTTCGGTTCCCTGAGGAGCTGTGTAGTTAGTACCCCCAGCAGGATGTGTTTCTCTTCCACGTTTCCCTCCCCAACTTCCAGCCCAACTTAGTGCTTTGACTTACTCTGAATTTTGAGTTCTATTAGGAAAGGCGTTGAAGACAAGACGTCCTGAGATGTCCATGGGGTGGGTTTCTCAGAGATCTCACCCCAGGGCTTGCCTGATGCTGACTTCTCACTGTGGCCTTTCCTGTTTCCATGCCCCTGCACTCCCAGTGTCTCTCTTCTCTTCTTAAAAGGATACTAGTCTTAACCTTGAGGAACCTAAACTCATGACCTCATTTAACCTTAATCACCTCAAGGGCTCTATTGCCGTAAACGGTCACACGGGGGTAGGGCGTACAGTGCATGGACTTTGTGTGCGGGGCACACAGTTCAGAACAGTTGGGATCTTGTTACTCTTTGTATTTTCCTGTAGGCCCTAGCACAGCGTCCGGCAAGATGGTAAATCTAGATTTTTGTTAACAAAGTGATAGAAGACCTGATTGGAGCTGGGGGAGGAGTTATAAAGTCATTAACATCTACTGTCTTAGCCCATCTTTGTTTATACATTTCTGAGCCCTATTCTGGAAGATCCGAAGTCCTGCTTAGAACTTCAGGGTCTCAAAGGCAATGGCACAGAGGGACAAGGGAAGGCCCTGTTGGGGGCCTCAGGGGTGGGGACTGAAGGGACAGAGTTTGTGCCTTCCCACTACCCTCCTAACTACATCCTCACTTCTGACCGGGCAGTGCGCTGGGGTTGGGGAGGTGGAGTCTGTGAGCCCTTGCTTCTCACAAGCTTAACTTCCGGCAGGATTCTGAACAGTCTGTGGTAACCATTATTGCCCCATCAGGTGTCACAGTGGATGTGGCATCGTTGGCAGATGATGACAACATGGCTTAGGGGGGCCTCTGTGGCCATTCATCTTGGTGAGCAGAGATCACATTGCCACTTCTAATGATCAGACGAAAGCATCTGTCTTGGCATCCTGTCCCCTTCAGAACCCACACTGGATTCATTTTGGTGAGCAAAGGGTTTATTTTAATAATTTTTAATTGTCCGAGGCCCACTTGCCAGACTGTATGGCTTAGCTTTTGGTCACAGCCTAAGGAATAGCCTTAAGTAGCTATTCTCCTATAGTGAAGCCTGTTGCCTGTAATTGGCTCTTCCTCAGGGTAGATTCCCATAGAGATGGGAATATGAGACCACCTTACCTGCCTCTTGAGAAATCTGTGTGCATGTCAAGAAGCAACAGTTACAACTGGACATGGAACAACAGACTGGTTCCAAACTGGGAAAGGAGTACGTCAAGGCTATATATTGTAACCCTGCTTATTTAACTTACATGCCGAGTACATCATGTGAAGTGTCAGGCTAGATGAAGCACAAGCTGGAATCAAGATTGCTGGGAGAAATATCAATAACCTCAGATATACAGAAGACACCATCCTTGGCAGAAAATGAAGAGGAACTGAAGAGCCTCTTGATGAAAGTGAAAGAGTGAAAAAGCTGGCTTAAAACTCAACATTCAAAAAAGAAAGATCATGGCATCTGGTCCCATCACTTCATGGCAAATAGATGGGGAAACAATGGAAACAGTGACAGACTTTATTTTCTTGGGCTCCAAAATCACTGCAGATGGTGACTGCAGCCATGAGATTAAAAGATACTTGCTCCTTGGAAGAAAAGCTATGACCAACCTAGACAGCATATTAAAAAGCAGAGACATTACTTTGCCAACAAAGGTCCATCTAGTCAAGGCTATGGTTTTTCCAGCAGTCATGTATGCATCTGAGAGTTGGACATCCATACTGATGGAGCTGAAGAATTGATGCTTTTGAACTGTGGTGTTGGAGAAGACTCCTGAGAGTCTCTTGGACTGCAAGGAGATTCAACCAGTCAATCCTAAAGGAAATCAGTCCTGAATATTAATTGGACGAACTGATGCTGAAGCTGAAACTCCAATACTTTGGCCACCTGATGGGAAGAACTTACTCCTTGGAACAGACCCTGATGCTGGGAAAGATTGAAGGCAGGAGGAGAAGGGGACGACAGAGTATGAGGTGGCTGGAGGGCATCACCGACTCGATGGACATGAGTTTGAGCAAGCTCCGGGAGTTGGTGATGGACAGGGAAGCATGGCGTGCTGCAGTCCAAAGAGATGGACAAGTCTGAGTGACTGAACTGAACTGGGTAGATTGCCGATTTCCAGATTGGTTCTTACCTGTGCAGAGCTGCCATCAGGAAACCAAGCTGCCTTTTACTTTTTGTCTTATCAGGGCTTCTGCTTGGCATTCGGAAAGAAAGCTCTTGAAGCGGGGATGTTATTTATTGTCAATCCAATGGTTGTACTGAAGCTACTCTTCACTGATATGACATGTGCCTCTCTCAAAGCCCCAGATCCTTGATCCTTGGGGCATAAATGTTTCAAAAATCAGAATTTTTTGGTTTGTAGAAAAGTAAGGTATTTTACATAAAACTGCTTAGGGGTTTGCACTCATACTCCATGTGCTGCACTGTGGGTAGTTGCTCAGTTGTATCCGACTTTTTGCAACTCCATGGACTGTAGCCCACCATGCTCTTCTGGCCATGGGGAATTCTCCAGAATCCCGGAGTGGGTTGCCATGCCCTCCTCCAAGTGATCTTCCCCACCCAGGGACCGAACACAGTCTTCCACATTGCAGGTGGATTCTTCACAGTCTGAGCCGTCAGGGAAGCCCAAGAATGCTGGAGTGGGGAGCCTAGCCCTTCTCGAGGGGATCTTCCCGACCCAGGAATTGAACCAGGGTCTTCTGCATTGCAGGTGAATTCTTTACCAGATGAACTGCCAGGGAAGCCAGCACTTCATAACTGAACACATTGGAACAAAATGTGTGAATGTGTACACTAATGGGGGTACACAGTCTTTATTTCACCAGCAAATAAATTCAGGTCATCTCAGGTTTGGTAACCAAATGGATCATAACAAAACAATTAAAAAAAAAAAGGGATTGTGGACATATGTATATATATATGTGTGTGTGTGTGTATATATATACACAAACAGGCCTTAGAAATTTATATAAGTATAAATGTATAAATAGATACCTTTGTTGTTCAGTCACTAAATCATGTCTAACTGTTTGCGACCCTATGAACTATAGCAAGAATTTCCCAGGCAAGAATATTGGAGTGGGTTTCCATTTCCTTCTCCAGGGGATCTTCCCCACCCAGGGATCAAACCTGCGTTTCCTGCATTGGCTGGTGGATTATTTACTTCTGAGCCACCTAGGAAGCACCACGTGGTATGTGGAACTTTCCTGGCCAGGGGGACCAGGGATCAAACCTGTACCTCCTGCAGTGAAAGCATGGAGTCTTAACCCTTGGACCACCAAGAAGTCCTCTATTAATTACTGCAGCCAGAAGGTTGGCTATGAAGAGAGGGTCCCCATAGAAAAACCAGTTCTTGTTTATTAATTTTCATGAAACAATCAGGTTATACATACTTGCCATAGTGGTCAAGTTCTGGGCTTTAAATTGGTAGCTTTTCCAGTTAATATCATGCAGATACCCGCTCTCTGTGGGTACCCTGATGCTTAATAAAGCTTGTGCGCCAACTGAAAGACTTTCCACATTTGTCACATCTGTAGGGTCTCTCTCCAGTATGAATGACCTCATGTCGATGAAGATTTGCCTTAAAGCTAAAGGTTTTCCCACACTCTCTACACTCAAAGAATTCCTCCTTCGTGTGGATCCTTTGATGCTGAATGAGATCGACATTCCGACCAAAGGATTCTCCACATTCACTGCATTTGTGAGCATTCTGTTTACTGTGAATCTGTTGATGGCTCATAAGGGTTGAGTGCCGGCCAAAGGCTTTTCCACATATAGTGCACTTGTGGGGTTTCTCTCCACTGTGGATTAACTGATGTCGAATAAGCGTTGAATTCTGACTAAACGTTCTTTCACATCTGCTGCACTTATAGGGTTTTTCTTTGGTATGGATCCTCTTATGTTCGACGAGATATGCCATCTGACGGAAACACTTTCCACAGTCGTGACATTTATATGGCTTTTTTTGTGAGTGACACTGTTTGTGGTCGATCAGAATGGACTTCTGTTTGAAGGCCTGCCCACATATGTCACACTCAAAGGGATTCTCTGAACTGTGAAGTCTTTGATGTCGAACAAAATTTGCCTGCCGCCGGAAGGCTCTTCCACATTCGTGGCATTCATAAGATTTTGTGTTTGTCAGAGTTCTCTTATGCCTCAAAAGCCGTGATCTCTGATGGTAGGGTTTTCCGTACTCATCATGTTTGCCCTGCTGTGTCCTTGTCTGAGCTCTCCAACTGTGAATAAGGTTAAGGCTTTGAAGGAAGTCCTTACAGCACTCATCACCAGTAGCAGGGAGTGAAAATCCATAAATGTCCACAAATTCATTATATTCACATAACTCTTCTGAAGGCTCCTTGGCTGTTTTCTGCTTTACTGCGGACATCTTCCATAACATTAAATCTTCAGAAGTGTTCTCCTTTGGAGCGAGCTCTTTCAAATGGAATCTGGTTTCCAAATCTAGCCAAATCAAAAGAATGTGCAAATTACCCGACTACCACAGAAGAAAAGGAAAGAAGCAACTGTTTGTGATATGAGAGACTCAAACGAGGCTAAGAGGTGCTCACCTGGTTCCATCACCATATTAAAGAGCCAGTACTCTGATTTTCATAGGTCCCTCAGCTTTCATATCAGAAAGAGCTCTTGACATCATGAACTAACCAACTAACACATGCACACGAGTGTGTGTCAGAGAACGTGAGAACTGAACACACCCTTCTCCACTAGTGGGGAAAACAGCTTCCTGTTGGTACCCAGCAGGGTCACATAGCTGTAGGAGAGAGGGAGCATCTTGTACTTTCTAGAGAAGCATGTTTTTCACAATTCTGGGAGAAACGACTGCTTTAAAATGGAGGCAGTGTGTCAGAGAGAAAAGAAAAGGAACCTGAGAAACAGCACAGAAGCCAATGGGACAGAGCAATGATTCTCCACCAGGGGCGGTGCTGCCGGAATGGAGCAGGTGGAGGCCAATGATGCTGCTTGACATCCTGTGAGGCCCAGGATCGAACAGCCCAAAACATCAACAGAGCTGAGGCTGAGAATCCAAGGAGCGGGGGGATGTGGTAAAGGGTAGAAAGAAGCAGCCATCAGGACACAGTAAGTAGGAAAAGGCAGGAAAAGAAACACCAAGGGGATGTGGAAAACAGAATGAGAGCAAGGGAACAAGAGAAGGTACAGAAAAAGGGTAAGTGATGAAGGTAGAAAAAAGGAGTCTCTAGAATGGCCCAAGAGCTGTCAGAAAGCACCAGCCTGCCTCCAGTAGAAATAGGATGAGCGTTATTGCAGGATAAAGAGGATGAGCTTTGCAGACTTGAAATCCAGTCCCAGCTGGGGATTATCTCCGGGGAACAGGGGCAATGATCATAGCCACCACCAGCAGTGGGCAGTAGGGATGGATGAGCAGGAGAACACAACCCAGACTCCGGGTTTGGTATCCAGGTGCAGGCGGGCCTCCTGGATGGTGTCCCCAACTCTGCGTGACCCCCAGGGGCCAGGTCTGCTCCTCACCCACCTGGGCAGGCACTACCGGAAGCCTTCCTAGTCCCCGCTCTCGGCAGATCCAGGATCCATGGCTCTTCCCACTGTTCCAGCTGACAGATCACCTCAGGTTTGGGAAACTGAAATCCTACTCGTGGGGAAGTAAATGGGATGTGGTGGTTAGCGAGTGGCAGGAGAGGTCCCAGAGCTCAGTCTACCCCTGGGGGTCTGGGTGGCAGGGCTGCAGCGACAAGCAGAGATCAGGACAATAATCAGAAGGATTATCTGAGGAGAGGAATTGGCACCATCTTTGCGAAAGTTCAGCATCTTGCTTGAAAGCCTGAACAATATTCACACTCGTGGATATGGTCATTTCACTCTTAGGAATAGAGCCTAAGGGAAATGAGGACAAAGGTTAATGGGCAAAGGTTAATGCACCACAGATGTTCAGCAGAATCATAACAGTGCAAACTGGAAATAAAGCAAATGTCAACAGGGGAAGGATTAAAGTGTAGCCAGATATGATGAAGGCAGAATATTAGGCTAATATTGAAAATCCATGAGTTCAAAGGACATTTCTTAAAACAGGAAAAGGCTCCCCAGGTATTTTAAAGCAGAACACAAAACTCACATGTAGCATGATTCAAAGTCCATGTAAATTATGATCTGAATTTGTTTTTAAAAATTATGTGTGTTGGGAACTTTCCTGGTGGTCCAGTGGTTAAGAATCTGCCTTGCAATTCAGGGCACACAGGTTTCCATTCCTGGTCAGGGAACTAAGACCCCACATGCCACAGAGCAGCTAAGCCTGTGAACCATAACTAGAGAGTCTGTGTGCTTCAACGAAAGATCTTTCATGCCGCAACTAAGACCTGGAGCACCTTCCCCCCAAAAAACTACATGTGTGAGTGTGTATATACACAGATCATCCTCTTCTTACGACAGGGTAAGTGAAAGTCACTCAGTCGTGTCTGACTCTTTGTGAACCCATGGACTGTGTAGTCCATGGAATTCTCCAGGCCAGAATCCTTCCCCAGTGGATCTTCCTGACCCAGGAATCAGACCGGGGTCTCCTGCATTGCAGGCAGATTCTTTACCAACTGAGCTATAAAGGAAGCCCATTTACAACAGGGTAACTTCCCAATAAATCCATCCTTCATAAATCCATCATATGTTGAAAATTCCCAATAAATTCATCCTTCATAAATCCATCATATGTTGAAAATATTGTAAGTTAGAAATGCATTTAATACACCTAAACTACTGAACATCATAGCTTAGCCTTACCTACCTTAAAAATGCCAAGAACGGTTACATTAGCCTGCAGTTGGGCAAAATTGTCTAACACACAGCCTATTTCATAATAAAAATGATGAATATCTCATGTAACTTACTCAATACTGTACTAGTGAAGAACAATGGTTTTAAGTGAACTGGTTGGCGACACTTGTGATCACGTGATCACACGGCTGTCTGGGAGCCAACAAAAATAAGCATTAAAGCATCCAGTGGTGGGCAGACAATCCCACAAAGGTGGTCAAGAATCTGCCAAGAGTGTCAGCACGGGGTCAAACATGTCCCAGAAAGAAAATCCATCAAGGAACCTCCCTCTGTAGGAGACTCTGCATTGAATAAGACGAGGGTGGGCTCCCAGGAAGGTGGAAGCTGAGGAGGTACAGAAGTGAAGTCAGTGAAGAATCATCTCCTGGGCACCGGGTGATGGTGTAAGCAAAGAAGGAAACCATTTTCAGACAGAAGAAAGAAAAAGACTTTCCAAGAGAGGAAGAGGGTAGACTTTGCAATCTGCATGGGCCACAGTCTTTTCAACTCCTAGAGGTCTTACAGATGTGGAGGATTCAGGCTGGGGGATGAATGTCTTCAAACTCTAAAACAAAAGGAAACTACTCATTATCCACAATCCCATACTTGAAAACTTTGAGGCCTGATTTGTTTCAGGACTCAAAATTTTTCCAGATTTCAGAAAGGTGACTGAGTGTGGGTATAGTTTCTATTATGTACCACCTTCAACAGGGGTTGAGCTGAAACCTTAAACAAACACTCTGATATTTATGATGCCATATATATATGTATCTGTGTATGTATATATATTTGGAGACCAAATGAGAAAAAGGATGATAAATAGCTTCCTACAGGATAAAATCAGGTTTAACCAACTGATGACTTCAGGTTGAGTCTTACAGCCAAATGAGTTATGAAAAAACTGGCTTTCAGAGCTTTTTCTGCTTTGGGCATTGCACGTAAGAAACTGAGGACTTGCATAGACACTCAAAATCAAATCTTAAGCCGACTCATTACCCAAGGAGATGATGTGTCTGTAGTTGTCTAGCATCACGTCCCTGTAGAGGGCCTTCTGAGCCCAGTCCAGCGTGTCCCACTCTTCCCTGGTGAAGTACAGAGCCACGTCCTCAAAGGACAGCAACCCCTGGAAACAGAGACTCATTACAGCTGCAGTTCTTATCACAGTTCTGCGGGCTACAGTATTATTGTTGTCCTGCAGGCAAGGCTCATCCAGTTAATTAGTAGACTCAAGGCTCAACTCAAGTTCAGACCCTCAGGCCATGCATGTTCTTTCTTCTGCACTAGAGTCACATATGTTCTCTCTAGAGGGACACATGGTCAGTGTGTGAGGCTTCTCTGGCCGTTTGGTCTCTGCTGCGGTCATTCAGATAGTGTCAGAACTGAGTCAAATCGTGGGGCACCCAGCTGGTGTCAGAACTGCTCCATGTGCAGAGACATCCCATGTGCCTGAGGGCAGAGGTGAAGAGAGGAAGCAGAGAAGCAGCTGAGTCCTCCCCAGGCACGCACTCCTCCCTGCCTCTCTCCCCAAGGCCAGCAAGGATGCACACGCTGTTCCTGTCTTTACAGAGGTGCTCCCGTGTCTGCCTTCCTCTGTTCCCACTCTCTCTCTGCCCCTAACTGGGCCAGTTGTGTAAAGGAAACCTACACAGACATCTGCAGTCACCCCACAAACCCCCCTCTGACTTTAGTCTTCACAGCTCCCCTGGAGTGTCCTTCTGAGCCTCATGCCAGCCCTCTGCCCATGTGCGAACACAGGGGAGAGCAATACAGTTACCGCAGAAAATCAGAGATTTCACAGAAACGATGATTTTTGAGCTGAGTGTTAACACAGGCAGAGGTAAGTTTCCCTGTGGGCGGGGAGAACAGGATACACAAGGGTGGGGGGGGTTGGGGTGGGGGGAGCATTCACATCCCCATGTGCAGGTCCTCTGCTTTCAGGGAAGGCGGGCGATGACACGAGAAAGGCAGGCAGAGCTCTGTGTTCCCGCAGCAAATGTGGACACGCTGGGCCAGTGGGGTCAAACTGCTGCCCCCTGGACTCCCTCCTGTCCAGGACTGGTCTTTGCAAACTGTCACAATGGCTTCCTCATGTGTCTCCTAACTTGTCACTGACTTTTCAACTCGACTTCTCACGATCACCCTCCCTCTGGTTGCCAATTCAGTACCTAAATTTCTACCGTACCTTTTAATGCAACGGATCAGAATGCTATGAGCTTGTTTCCATATCCCCTTCCCTAAACGGCTTCTAAACTCCTTAGGGTGAGAGTCTCTCTCCCGGCACAAAGGACAGAACTACCTGGTACACGAGGTGCCCAGGAATGCTCACTGCCACAAACATGGAGCAACTGCGGTGACGGCAGCTAAAACCTCCAGGGCGCTCGAGACATCACTGGGTCCTCTGCCAAGCACTCCATGAGCCTCACTTCCCTGAATGCTCACATGACAGCTACTGTCATGACCCCATTTTACAGACTAAGGAAACTGTGCCCCAGAGAGATGAGGTGACACGTCTCAAACAGAGCCTGGATTTGAACCTGTCTGACTCCAGAGTTCAAGCTCTGTACATCAAATCCTCCAAGAAAGAAACACCTCCCAGCTGATAAAGATGGCTCAACCCCAGTGGTCATGCGAAAACCACTGCCTGGCCGCTGAGACTACACCAAGGAAGTGGAGGCGGGGGGAACCCTGCTCACCTTCCATGGGACTGGCAGGAACATGGCTTCCATGGCCTGGTCTCTGAGATGGGGCTGGATCCTGGCCATCAGGCTAAGCTGGAGAGAAAAAGAAAACAATTAAGTTCGGCCCTGAATTGAAGCTCTCTCACTAGACAGACTTTAGACAGGGAATGCCAATGGGGCCAACAAACCTCAGATAGTACAAAATCACAGTGTTTGGTGTTGGAATGTGGGATTACAATGAAAGCAATCGCTAGAATGGTCTTAGGAATTTCTGATGCTAGATCAATTTCCAATTTTTATCCTAGGAAACCTGCGCCTCTGCCCTCTCCCTCTCTCTAGAATATATTCTTCAGCACCTCAATGAGAGACTCAATATATCAAGGGACCAGACTGTTAGAAAAAACAGAACTCTAACCTGCAACCTGTAGCTCTGGCCTGGAACCCAAACCAGAAGCAATCCAGCAACAGGCCCCCAATCAGGACTTGGGTGGCAAGTGTGAACTTGTCCCTAACATGTATCCCCCTCTTCCATCCAGGACCAGCAGAGAGTCAGGTGTGCTCCCCTACCAAATCACATAGGATGTCCCGCCCTGTTTTTTTTTTTTTTTTTCCAAGCAAGGTTTTATTGGGCCCCTACTGCAGCAGCCGGGAGCAAGAACAAAGAACAGGTTCCCTTACTTGCTCGTTCCCTGAGGCCTGGTGGAGGGGAATCCTTCTTTTACTTAACCTGCCTCCAGCTTTTCCAAGCCAATCTCCTCAAAACTCAGCATCGTTGAGTTTTCCCTTTTTTCCACTCTAAAGCTTCTCCTGCTTGCTTTTGAGTCTCTCCAAACACCTGATGGTGGCCAGTTCCCTTAGTATAGCAAGCTCTGCATGAAGAGCCTTTGCCTGCTCTCATTTGGGCGGTCTTAGGTTATGTCTGCGTCACACAGAATCAGCTCAGAGAGTGTAACAATGATTTTAGGGAAGTTATCAGAGATTTTAGGCTAAATATGATATATAAAGAGCTAACTGTTGTCAAAGGGACTTCCCAGGTGGCTCAAGTGATAAAGAATCCACCCGCAATGGAAGAGATGCAGGAGACTCTGGTTTGATCCCTGGGTTGGGAAGATCCCCTGGAGGAGGAAATGGCAACCTACTCCAGTATTGTTGTCTGGAATATTCCATGGACAGAGAGAAGCCTGGCAGGGTCCATGGGGTCTCAAAGAGTTGGACACCAACTGAGCGACTGAGCAGGCACAGCTGTTGTCAAAAGAAAATTCAGAGGACTTTACTTGATATGAACAGTTTATGGAGTGAAAACCAAACCGCGAACAAGGAGGCTTCAAAATGGAAAGTCTTAAGAAGTTAAGTTCTCCGCATTTACCCTTCAGTTTATAAAACACGTAAATAGGTAGCAGAATAAGCCTCTCCCTAATATACCACTTTGGAAAACTGATTATTTTGAGCTGCAGGCACTTTAAAACAGCTGTTTAAAAAAAAAAAAGGTGGGGGGGGGAGGAGAATTCCCTGGTGGTCTGGTGGTTAGGATTCAGTGCTTTCCTTGTTGGGGATCAGGTTCACTCCCTAGTTGGGGGAACTAAGATCTCACAAGCCATGTGGACTCACTTGTGCTAAGCCCCATGTCAGCAAACCGACACCTAATACTTAACCTAACTGCAGTTTCAGCCTCTTCCAGGTATAGAACCTCCCTCCCCTTGTCCTAGGACTTCCCCTGTGGCTCAGTGGTAAAGAATCCACCTGCAATGCAGGAGACGTGGATTCAATCCCTGAGTTAAGAACATCCCTTGGAGAAGGAAGTGGCAACCCACTCCAGTATTCTTGCCAGAGAAATCTCATGGACAGAGGAGCCTGGCGGGCTACGGTCCATAGGGTCTGAAGAGTCATGACTTTCAAGACAGCCTTAAGAGACACAACTTAGCAACTAAACAACCCCCTTCCCTATAAAGATTGCAGTTAGACCTGAATTCTAAGCCATCTTAGGGGTTAATCATTTTTCCTTGGGAATCTCCATGTTTATACAAGGTAAGTGTGCATGCATATGCAGGTGTTTCCGACTCTTTGTGATCCCATGAACTGTAGCCCGCCAGGCTCCTCTGTCCATGGAATTTTCCAAGCAAGAATATTGACCCAAGATTTGAACCCATATCTCTTGCATCTCCTGCACTGGCACGTGGATTCTTTATCACTGTGCCACCTGGGAAACCTCTTACATGAGGTATACATGTTAAGAAACTTGTTTGTTTTCATTTTTTTTAATTGCAGGAATCTGACTAAGTATTCAGAAGGGGAGAGAGAAAATTATTTTCCTCCTATGCACAGGAATCAGGAAGTACACTGTTTTCTATTGGGACTGGTTACTAGAACTGATGGTCCTTTCAGAAGAGTACCACCATACAAGTTTACTTGTTTGTAGCTGCTAGGAAACTGCAAGGTTACCCAGACATGAAGAAAGCTTAAGTTTCCTTTAAGGACAGAGCCAGCTCTTCATGGGAAATTAGGACAGTTAAAGTTTTGGTTCTGCAGGTCTGGGTAGTTTGCCTGGGGGTATACTTAAACTATGGCCTCCACTTTGGTTCTTTAACATAATAAATCTAGTGTTGTTTCTCTCAGGGAGTACACAAATGATGAGATACAGAGGATTTCCACTTTCTTCGTGTGCCTTTCTGGCCACTGGCAAACCTTCTTTTATGTAAGTGCATTTTTAAGAAAGTCTGTCACGTGCTGTTCTCCTTCTTTAAAAACAATGTTCGTAAGCCCTCTTGCCTCTTAAACAAGGAAGCACGTGTGATCAATAGCTCCAAGGCTGGGGAAGAGATATCGACCCTTTCACTATCTAAAGTAGATTACCTGCTGTGAGCACCGTGCATTTGGAAGTCAGAATCCATAATTCAATTTATAACAAAATCTGCAATGCAGGAGATCTGGGTTGGATCCCTGGATGCATGATTCCCCTAGAGAAGGGAATAGCTACCCATTCTTCTTCTTTTTTAATGTGTATTTATTTGGCTGTCCAGGGTCTTAGTTGCAGCATGCGTGATCCGGGATCAAGCCCTGACCTGGGATCAAGCCCAGGCCCCCTGCATTGGGAGCGCAGGGCCTTAGCCACTGGACCACCAGGGAAGTTCCACACTCCAGTATTCTTGCCTGGAGAATTCTACGTACAGAGAAGCCTGGTGGGCCACAGTCCATGCGGGTCGCGAAGAGTCGGACAGGACTGAGCGACTAACACAAAGCCAAAGCAAGCAACAGTATTAACCAGCCATTCGTTCATCGGTCTCTGTACTTCTCTAAAGCCAAAAGACCTGACACGATACTCAGAGGCTGGCGTCTTCAGGAAGCCTCTCGGTAAATGCCCTGAAGACCGGGGGTTTGGGGAAGTGTGGGGGGCACGGGATTCGAGGGAAAGGGGGTTGTCTCTCCAGCCCTCACACCTGTGGCGGGGCCACCATGGCTTCCCCTGGCACCCCACTCCGCCCATCACACTAGCTCTTTTTTCCCCAAACCTCCGCGCCTCCGACCCCCGCCGCGCCTCCTCCTCCAGGAAGTCCTCAGGATGCACCTGCGGCTGCCATGGAGCTGGCCTCCATTATGGAGGTACCAGGCCAGACTCGGAATTAGACTCGGAACCTCGGCCAACCTCCACCTGAGGGCTCCATGCGGAAGATCCCTGAGCCTGTCGCCCGATCACTAGCGCAGGCCGAGCAGAGCGTCCCCGCCCGAGTACCTTCTAGGAACCTCGGAGGATTCGCAACTCTCTGGTCGGGGAAAGCGCTGGGGCGGGTCGCGGGGGCGTGTGCGAGTAAGGGGGCGGGGCACTCATGTCTCCTCGCGCTATGCGCTCCTGGTCGGAGCCAATGAACCGCCGCAGATGGAGTGGTCCACGCCACGTGATTTCCAGGTCCCGCCCCGACCTGTTCTCTCATTCCCTGGAGGTCGGTAATCTCCTATAAGAATAGGCTAGGGGACTCAAAAATGCTTACACCAAGTACTTTCCTTTCCCACTGATTGTTAACAAAATCTCTACGGGTGAACCCTTGTGTAGCTGGGTATTTTTAAACCCTCCTTTTGGGAATCCAGAGTGACTTTTTAGAGACCGACCCTGGACTAGGCAAAAAAATAAAAAATAAAAAAATTGAATATAATGAATAA